TGAGGAAGAAAATTCACATTCTCCTGACTTGCTAACCGAAGGACATGTGGCAGCCCTTTTAATCTTTGCTAACAAACAACTCTACTTTGTCTTCATTAAAATGTAACATTGATTTAATCTAATCAAACTGGCTGCTAGAGTAGGTGTCTACAAGCTGAACCAGACACAGTAAGGCTAGGGCACATCCCAAAGGTTCAGCTAACAGGAGAAGAGAAACTGTAAAATCTGTCAATAACTGCATTAAGCCTGTTTTTAAGTGTTTTGTAAATGAAAAGGGGATGGGTGTTGGGTTCAGACTGGTCTTATGTCTTGTGGGTTGCTGACGTATTGACATTTACTTTCCTCTGTCAAAATACATGGAAAGCAGCTCGCCTTTAAGTTTGAATATTAGGCAAATTTGCAGTCAAGAACAAAATGTTGATATCGTATCGATTCTTGAAAACAGTATTTTTCACTTCATCTTATTTTTTCTTTCACTTCTGTAATGCTGATGTTAGTTTAGATTTTTCTAATTTGATATGTTTTAATGTACTCTTTATGGACCTTATCAGGACATTAGTTTTTCCGGTTTAAATGTGGTACTGCTGACAATGGGTCTCCTATGGGGACGTTATTGGGCGTAGCCTGACACCTAGTGGCCAAGACATGCAAGTGTATTTCAGATATGGTTGCCACTTTCCCTTTTTAAAAATGTATTGATGTACCTCTGCCCTTGACTTTTTATGACTGTTGATCTGCTGCTAATACATCACACATGTAATTATTACCTTTCAGATGTTACATTTAAACGTATTAGTTCTCTAGAGATGTGTATGAGTGACTGGATTGAGTTATAACAGTGATTTATTTATGATTTTATAGTATTTCCCTCTGTCCTCCTGTGAATCCCTAAACTCTGCTTAAATTCTGTCTAATGATTCTTTCTTTTTCTCTCCCTTCATCTGCCTCCCTTCTTGTCACCGCTTCTCCCTGCCATCTGTTTGATTTTTCTTACCCTTCTGTGCCATTTTCCTCCCTCTCATACGATCATCCTTTACAGAAACTCAAACGGCTGATTCCTGACGAGGTAGGTTTATTGCTGCTCGCCACCATCACCTATGTGCTTGATCCGTCCATCTGTCACTGTGGTCTTTGATAAAACCGACTCACCATTATCCATTTAATGTCATGTCACAGTCTGTCACACACACCTAAACACCTAATCCACTGTAACACAAATGTTGTTGAGTATCTGTGTTTTGGCCTGTGCTGTACTCACATTGGATGTTCATGCTTTGACATTGCACACTGATAGCATGAAATGCTTGGCACATAGGCCAGTGATGCCTTCATGTGCCTAAAACAGGAGGATGCAAGAATTGTACATATTGACAAATTATTATTCATGATTATGTTGCCCCTCCATCATTATGCAACTGAGGCAATATGTGCCAAGGGTTACATTTATCCTAACGTTAATGTTTTTCAGTGTTTTTCATTTGGCAATAAATTACATAAACACTGAGTGCAAGTATTGGCAATTTACCGCACAAAGTCAATAAAACCAGAGTCTTATGTTGCGTGCCTATCAGTGTTAACTTCCTGCTGACTTTGTGTGACAATGCTTGTCGGCAAAAACCTTTAACGTCTCTAATCCCTAATCATTGTCTCACATTTTTGAAAGGTTTCTACTGTTGTCGAAAATGTAATATCCCAAAATGAAGGGAGAAATAGCCTTTGGGAATTTTATGAACAAAGTAGGCCTGTTTTCAAATTGTGAGTTGATTAGGGATTGCTACCTTGTTTTGTGGCGGTTCAGTGATGGTTACATTTAGCAGTTTTTCACTTTGACCTCTTTCCTCTAACTTGTCCAGTTGGAGCGTTTCACCAGCATGAGGATGAAAAAGGACAAGGAGAAGCCTGGCCATGCGCCCGGCCAGCGACACTCGTCAGCTGCAAACTATGAGATAAATCCTCAAAGTGCTATGCTGCACGATCATTCTGATGAATACGTCCTGGAACTCTTCGAACAGATGCTGGTAAGATGGATAATAAAAGTGTGTGTGTGTGTGTGTGTTGTGTGTGAACAGTTCAGCTATTGGAGAATTAATTATCTCCCATAAGACCCATTGTGTAGAATTAGCCCAATACCTTTAATAACACCCCCAATAAAAAGAAAACTATATAATAAACAAACTAGAAATGTAGGTATTATCTATTAATTCTGTTCAGTGTCTCAGCTCAGAACCACCTCTGCTCACACTTTGAAACTGAGCATATGTAAGAATCTCACTCAAATACCTTAATGTAATTCCTGACATTTATAAATACAATACAATTTCCATTTTAGTATGCATTTTCTATTTATTAATTGCTTCAGTCTACAGATTTTTCATCATACTATCGCCTTGTCTCAAAATACTTGGTTTATCCTTCTCAAGCCTACTTCTTTTTTCTTCATATCTACTGTTTCGTCTGTCTTTCTCCAGGTGGATATGAACCTGAATGAGGAGAAGCAGCAGCCTCTAAGGGAAAAAGACATTATGATCAAGCGAGAGATGGTCTCCCAGTACCTCCACACATCTAAAGCTGTCAGTACCAAAATAAATTGCTAACACAGTGTGCTGAAAGAAATTTGCTGACAGATTCATGCAAGTCATTGTTTTTTCAGTACTGGCTAATATCAGGACGAGTTACAAAACATTTGGTCCTTAACATGCCATATTGTCCTATGCTTAACACATAATGCTACATATGGGCCTGTTTTCTCATAATTCACTTTTAAAACACATTGAATTTATATTGAATGTACTATTTATAAATTATACAAATGTTTTTACTGCTGAAATGTTTAGTTAACCATCATTGGGAAGTAGTAGTAGTAGTAGTAGTAGTAGCAGCAGGTGTAATGTAATTAAATATTGTGTTAGTGAGTAGCTCAAAGAACATCAAAATTCCAAATTTGTGTACACACTGTGTCTGTTTGCGTTTTGTTGATTAGGGCCAAAACCAGAAGGAGAGCTCCAAATCTGCTATGATGTACATCCAGGAGTTAAAGGCAGACTACCGAGACACACCACTGCTCAGCTGTCTGGAATCTCTGAGAGTCTCACTCAATAACAACCCTGTCAGGTAATACACTGCCTATGAAAATAAAATAAAAGCTAGATAAAGGAAGAAATTGATTTTGAAATTTAGAGCCAGCAACACACAGTGAGTAATATGCATCTATTTTATTTAAAGAAAAACAGATTCATGTGATTAAATGATGACATTGACTTTAACACCAGGATAACAAGAAGGTCATGCTTTTCCTTAAAGAAATGTGTGTATGTCAGAAGCTCAGTGTACTGATCATGTAGTCTTGTCACTTCAGTTGGGTGCAGAACTTTGGAGATGAGGGGCTGGCACTGCTGCTGAATCTGCTGAGAAGACTACAGGAGGACAAAGACGAGTACCCGTAAGACACTTCAACCACAGAAAGGCAATTGTACTCTATATCAATGCATAGTTGTAATTTTTACCTATGTCTGTCTTCTTTCGCATCACTAACTAGAATGATGGGAGTGAAATGTCAACACGAGATCATTCGTTGTCTAAAAGCCTTTATGAACAACAAGGTAAGAACAATCATTGTTTCTTTATGAACATCAATATACCTAATACTTGCTTTTCTACGGATGCACGTTGTTGTGTTTAAGCAATAAAACTAGTAATAGAATAATCTTTATCCTGTTATCTGTCCTTGTTGTAATGGAGCAATCCATCCACTAGAGGGCATTATGAAGTCAATGTGACCAACTTCGATCAATTCATCACAGTGAACGCAGTCACCAGTAACCTTCGAGAGTGCTTTGAGCTTTCAGTGTGGTGATGTGTCTAACCCTAGCTCGTGATCTCTTAAGGATCTATTACTTTTAAGAATTATACACCAGTGTGAATCAGTGATGTGCATACGAGACTCAATGCTACAGAACTCTTTATATATTTAAGAAACATAGTTCTGATTAGGTAATATCAATATCATAAGTTAAAAACTTAGAAATACATACAAACAGAAATTTTAAACTGCAAAAACACAGCATCAGTGAAATAGATACAACATAAATATTGTTAGAAATTTTATATTTGATTCAATATAAATGAAGTCAGTCTTAGATTTGTATGTGAAGGTGAGTCCATATTACATTTTTTGAGTTAGTTCTAGTCAGACAGTTATACCACACTGTTTTGTCTCCCCTTTAGTATGGTCTGAAATCCATGCTGGAGTCAGATGAGGGAATTCCTCTGCTGGTCAGAGCCATCAACCCCAGGGTACCTCATATGATGGTGGATGCTGTCAAGCTGCTCTCTGCCATCTCAATTTTGGAACATCCTGAGAACCTGTAAGCATTAAGAAAATGTTGACTTGACACCATGTCATTTATTAAGTTGAACATACAGAAAATATTTCTCTTTGACCTGGATCTCGGGTTTCAATAAAATCTGTCGAATAGAGCAACAGAATTTGCTAGTCATTCTGCATAAATTTTTTTTCATGCCAGATTTTGCATTTATGTTGTTGCCTGCTTGTTTTTTGCAGTCATGAGCGTGTTTTGGAGTCCATTACCGAGGAGGCAGAGAAACGGGACATTGAGAGGTTTCAGCCTCTCCTTACTGGCATGAACAATCACAACATTGCTCTTAAGGTACACATACACATGTACACACATACTTAAACAATTATAAATCCCCATGTGTGTTTTTATTTGACAACTGACACCAGCACAGCACTACACAAAGTAGTCTGCAGTATAAAAGACCTACTCACCTGACACTTGTTGTCTTTAGTATTACTGTTCTCATCCATCTAGTAAGTCTTAAATGTGAAGCTGACTATACAATGTGATTTTGACAGGGTGGCTGCATGCAGCTGATCAACGCCTTGATCAGCCGGGCAGAAGAGTTGGACTTCAGGATCCATATTCGCTCTGAGCTACTAAGACTGGGACTCAGAGAACAGCTGACGGTACAGAAAACACTCTTTTGATCTTCTCTCAAAGTGACTCTCCAACAACACACATTTGCACAGCCTTACTTTTGTTGCCTCTGTCTTGCTGACTGGCTGACACTCATATGCTGTAAAAACTTTTTCTCAACCGTCCAAACTCAGTGTTAGTTACACTCTTCCTGTCACTCATCCCCCATTGTCCTCCTGCAGGAGGTGCGGATGATAGAAAATGAAGAGCTGAGGGTGCAACTCACGGTGTTTGATGAGCAGGCTGAAGACGACTCTGAGGACCTCAAAGCACGTCTTGATGACATCCGCATTGAGATGGAATATCCTTCCACTGGGCAAAATTGACCCCTTTGTAGAAATTGTCAGGGTCTACTTTTTGACTTTGAAAATCTGAATAGCTGGTTTCAATATAACTTGTGGTCATGGTTTCATGTTCACATTACTTTGATGAGCCAAAGGAATAACCTTCATAAGGCTTTTCATAATAAAAGAATATGCATGATTTAGACAGAGTAGTGCATATAATTATATGTATGTATTCCCTGCATTATAATGAGTCAGCTATCTACACAACATTAGATTGCTGCTTTCTTCCCCTGTGCAGTCAGCCTAATTACTTACTTTCTTCCAAGACAAATTTCTATTTTCACTCTTAATAAGCATACTCTTTCAGGCTCTGGGGAGTCAATGCTTTATTGCAACTCTGAATTATATGTTTTATATTTAAAAAATGTGTTATACAGATAAAATCAGTCAAGGTACACAACAATAGAAACTACTTAGTTATATGTTATTTTTTATTGTAGGTGGAATTGGTAGTTCATGCTACTACACTTTGACATTGTTCTGAACACATTTTTGGAAAAAAGTGGGACAGCTGGACCTCAAATGAGTCCCTTAATAGCTTTATTCTATGCCAATATTTTCTATCTTTATAAAACTTCAGTGTCTATATAATGATTTTGTCCTGATTTGACAAAGATACATATTTAAATGGAAGGATGGTGGTTTGTCTTTATCACACAACACACACTTTTTTCCGCTCTTTTCGATAAAAACAACACCATCCTTGCAGTGCATTTTTAAAAACGCCAAAAAGTGCTGCTGTTTTCTTGTTGCTGCTTTTGACATGCAGTTATGATTTTCAACACCAGATGTCTCCCGGGGTAACCAGTAGAGTGTAAACACAGTCTGCCTTCCTCACTGCAACACTGTATCTGCTACTGGCACACGATAAACACAAAGATAATATAACACAGTTGGTCAAATTAATTTTGGAAACGTACTTATGTGATAGAATTGATTGTGGTAGTTGTGCAAGATATGGTAAGAGTATATCACACTGTCCCTATACAAGATTATTGGTCAGCACAAAGCACAGTTGTGTTATTCCAAGCCTTGTGTAGTAGTAGTAGTATATGCTGCAAAGGTTAGAGTTTTTACTTATTGTCAATCAAAATGTTTTGTATGAAGTATTTAATATCTGTGTTAAATCCATCTATTCATTGTGTTATGGAGCCTTAATTTCGTCTTCAATGATGTGAGGGAAGTGTTTGAGATCCTTGTGAACACTGTGAAGGACTCCAAGGCCGACGGCCACTTCCTGTCTCTGATGCAACATCTGCTGCTGATCCGTAATGATTATTGGGCCAGGTAGCACTTGAACATATACACACTCATACATGTTGATACTGTTGATACCGCTCACACTCCTGCTCACACATTCACATATTAAAGCTGACACTGATATAATATAAGGACGGTAGGGGTTTATTCTAGAATTAGAATTAGGTGAAAGACTCCTTATTGTGGCGGGAAAAAAGCTGCATTACTAATTAAATTTATCTCAAAATGCTGATCATACAACCATATCATACACATACAGGAATTTACTTATGTAACTATCACTGCATTTTTTTCTGCAGTATCCATGTAGTCACGTAGTCCTTCTCTTCATCCACCTCTTCCTCCTCTCAGCCCTTTCCTCCATTTCCTGTTTGTTTTCTAGAGCATCGTCCCAAGTCTGCGAAATTAATACATGCAAAGAAGTCCAATTCCACTTAAATAGAAATGAATTCTATCACCTCTTATCACCAGAAATATGCTAATGTCACTCCTTGTGTCTTCTAAAGCCTGTGGGTGTTTAGCTAGGGAAACAAGAGAGAGAGAGAGAGAAAGTGAATGATTGAATGACAAGATGAGGTTAGAATAATGTTGGACAAGTCAAGAGTTGTATGGCCTAGTGTATGCACATTTACACACACGTCCACTTTCAACACAAAAGTGAGGATTGCTTTGCTTTACTTCATATCACAGAAAACAGGCAAAACATTTAAGAACATGTACACATTTGAGGTGAGTTGTTTGCCTTGTTGGTCTGGTGTTGCCTTGATATTTTCAGACAGGCAGGAAAATGTGATTTATTTTTAACACGGTTTGGGGAATAAATTGTTAGGATGGAAAAGATAGGTTCGCCCAAACAAATAGTCCCAGCTGAGTCATTTCTGTCTTCCTCCCCCTTTCCTGCTCTCTCCATCCAGTTGATCCAGTGGTACACAATAGAGGTGGTCTATAATGGACTCCACAGAGAGACAGGAAGTGAGGGGGGGAGGGAGAGCTCTAGAGTGGCAGAAAATACAGTTTGATAATTACAGAGATGAAAAGAGAAGGGAGGTGAAGGGCAAGACAATAATGAAGAAGAAATTGAGAGTTGTGGTAAATTGCTAGGTAATGTTGAGAGAATGAGGGAGGTACTTACAGGGAGTGGAATGGTTAGTATTTGTGTGGGAATCAATGAAAGAGTACCTGTTACTTGGGTCTTTTTTTATTCTTTCCGTGGTTCAATCTCAAGTCGAGATGGAAGCCTGGGAATTCACTAGAACACACAAATGCACTCATAAATGGCCATACTTGAAATCTTGCACGTACTGTGCATTTGCACAGACTGTACAGTGCTTAAAAGATGTAGTTTAAATATACTATGTCTGTATATCTATATATATCTGTATCTATTTATTTTAGTAATTATCACAATGTATATAGCCTTAGGCCTACAAACCACCTTTTCCCTAAATACCTTTTGTCTGAGTTTAATTTCTTAGTTTCCATTTCTGTTCGACTCCAGAATTTTTTTTTCCAGAATTACACTAGATGTCTCTCTCGCTCCACGGATAAATCTGAGTTTTAGAAAAAAAACAAACCCTTGAAGTATATTGAAGGAGTGGAATAAGTGTTAGACAAAGGCAGATTGACTAAGAGAGACAGGGGAGGGAGGGAGACTGAATAAATAAAGTATTGAGTTTGTGACTCTAGCAGCATCTAATGGGGTCAGGGAATAAGACACCTCCAAAATTGAGTGTCTGTGTGGAGCTGGCTTGATCAGACACGGGGCGCTGGACATACATCAACACACTCTCACGAACACAGTTGCACACAATCAATCTTTGTGACAAGAAACTCAAACCGTCATGCTCACACAGACAGCCAATCTCAGTTGCAGACAAAGTGACAAAGCATGCGTGTTCACACATTTGTCTGAACAAATGAACCTGCTTGCTCTTTGTCAATCCCATCCTTTACTCACATGCTGTGCCCGATTTTTTTTTATTACTTACATTTGCTATAATTGTTGACACAACATGCAGAGTATGTTGTAGAGAGTGGAATTCTTTTCTCTTTTCTTCCCAGAACCATGTATGAACTTCTCCATTGTTGCCCTTCTTTCATCCTTCTGATTTTATCTTCATCCTGCCTCCTAATCCATCTCTTTGTGAATCCGTCACTCCCTCCTGCAGGCCTCAGTACTACAAGTTTGTGGACGAGTGTATCGCTCAGATTGTGCTGCACAGGAATGGAGCAGACCCTGACTTTAAGTGCCGTAACCTCAGCCTCAACATTGAAGGCTTGATAGGTGAGTTGTTTGACCAGAACACACAACCAAGTCCTTCCTTTTCTGGTGGTGCCCACTTGGTCATCTCCCTTAGAACTTAGAGCCATATTCATGCACATGAACCAGGTGTGTGGGTTCAAAGTTTTAACCATATTTCACTTTTGGCCTACTTCACTCCAATCACTGACACAATTGCTAGTTTGCTGTCAATGGCAATATACCTGCCCTATGTGATTCAACGTTTATTTGGTCATACTTCCCGTTACCTTGTCCATGTACATGGTTGACAAATGTGTAGTGGCCCAGAAACACCACTGGGTGGAGCCAGAGAGAGAGACTGTGTCACAGTGTGGAATGAATTGTGCTACAGGTTTGAGAGTCACAGGTCTGAACTTTATCAAGAGTTAACACTTGACCAAACAGAGCAATCCCAGAGTCTGATTTCACAATGTAGTAGGTGAGATTTATTTGTATCGTTATCAAATGTTTTATTCCTGACACACGATGACCTGGTCTGATCATTCCTTTTCACACTGGTCATTAAAAGAATGGAAGTGATGGGTAAATGGAATCTATAGGCCTTCCGAAGTTACTGTCCGTTCATTGTAAAGCCCCCTCTTTGCATTACTATGCCTCCAGTTCAGCTCAGCAACAGTTTCTGGGGAAACAGAAAGAAGAAATTCTAAAAAGACAAAGATACTCACTGGATTTGTTTAACTTTAAAGCCTAATATTAACTGCAGATAAACTTTGGAGAATATTTTTGCACAGAATGAGGACTGCAGATCTTGTCCCCCCTACCTTTGCATTGGGAGCGTATTAGGAAAGGATCTTTTAATAGCCAGTATGAAAAAGAGGAATGATTAAAGTAAGCAAAAACAGTTTAGACAGATTTGAAGTGACTGTGAACAAGACACAGAATCCCTACCAGCTTTTTATGGAGATCAAGAAATTATTATGATCATGGTCACTGATCCATTTCATTTCATGTCACTCCAATAAATACAAACTGCTGAATTTTGCCAAAATCTTTGGACTTGAGTGACAGTTTGATTTGTTGACTAGGAAACACCCGCAGACTATAGTAAACTAAACCAGAGCAGAATGGAGGTGCAGGCCATGTCTCAAGAGTTCAATGTTCCTTTACGGCAGGTCTCCGTTGCTCACCGCAGGAGGCTCTAATTGCACTGCTTCTAAATGCGTCCTGACACACACACACGGGCTGGCTGGCCTCCTTTAAGGCTGCCAGAGTTATTATCGGTGGAAAGCAGCCCAATTCTGCCCTGCATGCATTATTTAGTGTTTTTCTTTGAACTCTGAAATTCAGCACAGTTTTTTCCCCCACATTCTGGCTCCCTTAGTGCTCTCTATTCGAAGTTTGTCCCATTTAGCCTAGCCACCATGACAGAAGTAACCCCCCCCCCCATTACACATCCAATAGCCATGTAAACTCATACACAAATGCACACTCTGAAATTGTATGTGGGTTGGCATATTGTGAGCTTCTTTCATCTGGCAAAACCTTCTCTTTCCAAAAATGGATTTCACATTTTTATCTGC